TTTCCTCTTCTCATTTTCAGAAGCTAGTGAACCTGGAGACAGGGGAATGGCGTGCTTGCATTTTCAAGGGTTTGGTGAGATTGCTTACCAAGAGACTCAGGAAAAAAACAACCTTATGCTGTTGTGGGATGAGAAGGCTTGGATTAGCGACTGCAGTTTTCACAATATCACAGAAGTCCCACAGGGATTAGCTCCAAGATCTTTGCCTTTGAGCAGTGATAACAGATCTGCAAAGGCGAGGAGAAAGGCCTCAGTTTTGGGCTTGGCTGGCTTTGTCTTCAGAGTGCTGCCAGGACCAGACAAAACACCCAGCAGCTGCAGAGGGATCTGGCAGTCCTGCAGTGCCGTTGCAAAGGAACGTGTGCTAGCAGGGTAAGATAATGCTCTTTACTTGTATTTTCTTCCTGCCCTTTGCCCTGTGCTGGGGACAACTCTCAGTGAGTCAGTGCTGCTTGCAAAATATTCTGAAGTCATCACCAGTAGCCTAGAGCTCAGGGCTGAGAAAATAGCTGGGAAGGGAAATAGAAGTGGATAAAGTTTTGGAAGGAGAATGAAGCAGCCCCACTCTGGTGTTGCTGCTGGCCCACATGGCCCCAGTGTGCACAGCCGGAGTGTCCCAGGGGCTGATCTCAAGGGATGCTCTCACCCTGCTGCTACTGCCTTGGGTGGATGGAAAAGCTGCTGGCCAAGGAGGGGTTGGAAGAAGTGGGATTCAGGCTGGGGAAAGGAATGAGTGGGAAAAGGTGGTGGTTAGGAGACATAAATGACATACAAGAGATGAGGGCAGGAGGGGGACTGCTAGGGCACTGGGGTCTGTTGGTGCCAAGTGCAGAGAGGAGTTGTTTGCTGGGTACGCAAAGGCAGAAGTTACCCCTCAGGCAGTTTGGGAAATGTGGTTTCAGGAAGCAGTTTAACAAATGTGCAGAGGATGGGCACTAGTGCAGCTGATGACACAGCTTTTTGGAAGCTGTGTGCATTTACTGGAAGAGAAATAAATTTGTGTGTTTGTCCACTGAAGTGGTTTCTCGGTGTATTTGTGGTTGGTCACTGTAGCAAACAGGTAAGGGCTTGACAAGCAACTGTAGTGTAAATCTGCTGAGGGTCGTGGCAGTGGGCGTTTCCTGCTCTTCCCTGGCAAGGCGTGGCCAGCTGCAGTTTCCCAGAGGACAGCAGCACCCGGATGCGGGAGGCGGCAGGACTTCCATGCTCCGTAGTTCTTGGGTGGTTGAGACCTGAGTCCAGCGAGATACATCCTGTCCACACACTCTTATTGTCCATGTAACTCCCTGACTGCCTTGAAAGTACAGCATCACTCTTTTATTCTCTGCACAGAATTAATTCACCCCCAGAGGACTTGCTGTGGGGGCTTTGCCTGCCTGCCAGCACTGTGGCCCACAGCCCTCTCAGGCTCGTTTCAGGAAGGCCACAGCTGTTTAAGTATTTTTATAGGCTTTTGTCCTTTCTTACTTAGTACTTACAGCTCACACCCTGTGTGCTTTGTCTAGGTGATAAATTTCAGTCACTTCCAGAAGAGCACATGTGTAGTACCTGCTGTGATACAGGAGTGCACACAAGTGGCTTCCAATCTAAGGGTGTGGAAGAGAGCCCCACTTGTGGCTATCCAGCCTGGCCTAGGCAAGCAGCTGCCTTCCCACTCAGTGGGAAAGGCTCTGTTGCAGAATCCTTGAGAGAGACCTCACATTAGGATGCTCCTTGGACAAGTAAAATAAATCATAACGTGAAGTAGCAGTAAAAATTAAACTGAACTTCAGTGAACCCATGATGAACAAAAGGTACCTTGAAATGCTGTGGTTCTGTTCAAATGCACTTGTTGGCAGAACCTACTTTGCCAGCTTATAAATCAAAGGAAAATAACTCTTCACATTGCAGCGGTGTGCAGTCATTGAAGACAGGAATGACATTGTGCCAAGTTTTCCAGTTTTCTTTTTGTGCCCTGGGGGGAGAGGAGGTGGTGTGACTTGTTGGGCATCCTCTGCACTGTGGCATTGGGAGGAGCGTCGCAGCAGGAACTTGGCCGTGGGCTGGAACTTGCTGTAAGGTTGTTCCACCACTATGAACCTGCCACTCCTCTAGATTATCCTGGCTGTGGAGGACAAAAGCTGATGGCACTGCAACGTGCCTGCAGTCACCTTCAGCTGGAAACCACTCAGGTGAGGCTTTTGGAAGTCAAAAGCATGGAAGGGCCCTCCAGGGCCCAGACTGAAGAGCAGTTAGCTCTGCAGGCAGTGGAGAAGCCAGGGCAGTGGGGGCTCTGTCCTGCCTGCAAGGGAGATCTTGGTTGGATTTCCTGGAAGCCAGACCCTCTTCTTGTGTGAAGAAGTATGGTGTGAAAAGAGTCTTGAGGGGGTTGCATGAAGCATGGGGGAAGAGAGGTGTCTCAGAGTTTTGTACTAAGCTGACACTGGACAATTCTATTGCAGCATCTCTCTCTGGATTTAGAAACTGTGGCTGGTTTGCCCAAAGCCAGGGCAGAGGCTAAGGCAGCAGCACTTCACCTTTACCACGTGGCTCTTGCAGTCCTCTGCCTTCATGTGGCTCTTTCTGGTCCTGAGGGCAGCAGGGATTTCCCACCAGGATCTCCAGCCCTGGAAGGGACAGTGGAGAGGCATGGAAAGTGTTTAGCAGAGACCACAGCAGAAGAGGAACTGTAAGCAATGCGAGGAGCTTTGTGAAAACTACTGGCAGAAGAGAGCACAGCAATGTCCCACATCCCCCCAGTACCCCCTGCCCGAGGCTACTGTACCTTGGCTTCTGAAACCATGCCACCAGAGAGACCCCAGCCTGCCTTTCTGGTGATTGCTGCTCAATGAAATGAAAAGAGAGGTGGTCTGTCAGGGCAGGGGAAGTTATTTCCATAAAAGCTAGAATTGCTTGTGCTTCTTGAATTTTTAAAATTTATTATTTTTTTCCTTTATGAAGTGGGAGTAGAAGAATGTTTCCTTTTTAAGGGGGCTAATGTGTGAGAAGTCAGGATGAGTTGCTTAGTATAGTTAAAAGAAAAAAACAGTCAACATTAGGTTGCTTTAATAATCTGGTATTTAATCCTGTGAATGGTAGCATTTATAATTTAGTTCATGTGGCATTGTACTGACTCTGAGTTCCTACAAAAGCAAGATACTTGTTGAATTGTATAACACTGTGAAATCTCTGCTTCTTCTGCTGTATTTCCTTCATAGGGTGAGGCTCTAAAATCTTAAAGACATTTGTCTATTTTGTGAAGACCTGTGGATTAAGATATGTGTTAAAATGTGACTTTTCATATGACTCGCTCCAAAAAGGCAGGGAGCTTTCTCTGCTGTTGCATTTGAAAAAGAGTGGGAGAATCACCCAAGAATAGACACTAAGTCATTTATCTTGGAAAAGTTAGCTTTTTCTTTCCTCTGTTCCTTCTGTTAAGCATCCAGCATTGGGATTTCTCCTTGGCTGTATTGCTGGTGTATCCACTGCTCCTTCTCTGAGGAGAAGGCTGTTGGTGTGTTGGGAGCAGGAGTGGTCACCCTTCGAATCAGCTCCTGCTTTAGCTGGGAGCAGAATTCAGACTCAGGAGGAAGATTTGTATTTTGAGTGGGCATTTAAGGATTTAAAAGGCTTATGTGGTGTTAATGTGTTTGCTGCTGGCCATTCCATGCATGGGTAGCAGCTTTTGCAGACTTGTATGATTTATTTAAGGAAGCATCTGCTCATGCCTGAAAGTACCAGATTCTTCTGTAACAATTACTTTTTCTTCTTTTTTTTATTTGCAGGTGTTTCTTGAACTCTTTAGTGCATCACAGAGCTGTTGTGTTTTGGCATAATCTGCTTAAATCCTCAGAAGAAAAATCTGCTTACAGCAAAAAATGACTTGAGGTGGAGAGCTGCTGCCTCACCCCCAGGTAGTGCATTGGTGGCTCAGTGGGCTCTCAAATTCCATGCTTAGCACAGTTTGCTTTCAGCAAGTTGCTCAAGAAGGGAGTTGTCACTAGTGCCTCTCTGTGGTGTGCGGTGATTTGCGTGTCTGTCTCCTGAGCAGCACTGGGACACTTGTTCTCTCTGCACTTCTTCTATGTTCTTGGGGCATCCTGAAGCTGCCACATAGGAAATAAGCAGCTGCCCTCCTGTCTTCTGTGGTCCCTTGTGCTGCCTAGGTTGAGCTGCCATTTGGGCACTCCTGTTGAACTGCCCTCTTTTATAACGTGGTGGAAGCTAGAGGGATCTGCTGATAGGAGGTAGCACAAAAAGGACAGGCAGTGCTATACCACAGGATCTGGCTCTGCTTTCTCCAGGAGTAACATCCCTAGAGTAGTGTTTATCAAGTTCATTTATGAACCCAAACATATCTCAGACCCTTCTGTGGATGGATTGGCTCCCAACAGCTGTTTAGTGAGGTTTCACACTGGGTGCTCAGCCCACTGCAGCCTTGCAGAAGTTCCCTGTGAAGTAAACAAGCGTGTCAGTTCCAGGGTGGTGAAGCTCCTGGTGTTCACGAAGGTTTTATTTCAACAGTTAAATGTCTGGTTATATGCTGCATTAGTGTTCATGCCTATGGTCAAGTAGAAGCTGAGTTTGGAAATGCTAGTGGTGAGATTTGGACAGTAATTGGCTGGGATTGGAGATGAAGGAAAGCAAAGTGGAGACTTAACCCTGTGGCTGGCACGATCCTGACTGTGTTCTGGACTGTCTCTTGCAGAGGGAATAGAAAAAGGTTTGAGTGACAATGACCTCAGATCACTGCTGCATAGCATGGGATGGCTAAGAGCCAGCTCGAGCTCGAGTCTTTCTGTTTGATGTTTGGGGTGGTGGACTTTGACATGAGATCTTTAAACAGCCTGAAATGTTCAAACAACTCCTATGTTTTCCCCCTCCCCTCCCATTGCCCATATTCTGATGTTTATAACTTCATATATATGCATGCCTGTGCGTGCAGCCCTGACCAAGGTGTGTTCCTCTCTCCCAGGACCAGCTTCCCACCCTGAGCTCAGTGTCTGGATGCACCGTACACTATGGTTCGCATCAATGTGTTGAAAAAATTGATGTGTGTTCTTGTGGTGATACTGGTAGCACTGACAGTTTGCCTGTGGAGAGAGACGAGACGAAGCTACTATGTTCCCTTCAAAACCGAGAGCAACGGCTTGGAGGTTCACAGGACTTTGGAAAAATGGAACCCAGTTATGTCACAGGGCCTTTTCCATGAAGCCACGAGTGAACTGGGCCAGATATCAAAAAGGTGGTTTGGTGACCACAACAAAGTAAGAGGCAGCACTTCTGGAACGGCTGAAAAGTTCAAGAAGGCAGCAGACTCTCTGAAAGTATGGGATAAGGACAGTTCATCCAGAAATCTCATACCCAGGCTGCAGAAGGTCAGAAAAAACTACTTGTCCATGAACAAGTACAATGTGACTTACACTGGGAAGAGGAACACTGCTAAACTCAGCCCAGAGAAGCTGCTCTGCCAGCTACGGGACAGAGTGAATGTGACCATGATACAGGCATCAGATAATCCTTTTGATACCTCTGAATGGCAGCAATACCTACCAGGGAAAAGCCTGAATGAAACCATAGGTCTCCTTGGTTCCTGTGCTGTTGTGTCCTCAGCAGGATCTCTGAAATCATCTCATTTGGGACAAGAGATAGGTTGGTATATTTTAATTAGCTTCATTCATAACCTTCATTACAATCAAGTAACATTGTTTTATAATTTACGCTGAATAGAAGTAACCTACTGTCATGCTCTTGCCAATAAGTCTCTGGTGTAGTCACAAAGGTGTTTTAAATAGGTTCAATTACTATCCTTAAACTTCTTCTAAGGTTAGTGAACGTTACAGCAAAGGAGGAGAAATGGGAGTAATGGTCAGATACTCCCTCTTAGTGTACACACTGCACAGTGTAGGCTGCATTCTGATGCCCCAGGTCAGTGCCTATGAACTTTAAACTTTGGGCAGACTGAAACAGGCAAGGCCCAAGGGAGTGTAACAGTTGTGTTGAGCTGAGAGGACATGTTGTATGTGCAGGTCGTTCTATTCCAGCTAGTCCTTTCAATTTTCATGATCATGTTGGCATCACCAGAGGGCAGGATTAATGCTAGATACCAAGTGCTTGTTCCTTGAGAGGGTTTTGGGTTGGGTTGAGTAATGCTAATCTGCTCACTGCACAGTCAAAGGACAGAAATTTTTTCGTTCAGAGAGGTTTCATCAGGGAAGAAGTAAAAGAAAACACTCAAGTGTGTTTAACCCTAAAGGAAAAAAACCAACACTGGACAGAGCCCTGAGCAATCTGCTGTAGTTGAGCCAGCATTGAGCAGAGGGGCTGGTCACTGACCATCTTCAGAGGTCCCTTCCAGCCTGGTCTTACTGACCATATTTATCTGAGGTGAATGTATTAATTAATAAAAGCTGAAGCATTGGTCTTGTACAGTGGATTACAAAGAAGCATGTTTTGAACCTGAAGTGTTTTGTATCTTGGAAGAAAGGAGCATGTAGTGGAAACTAGCTCTCCAGCTGTCAATTCAGGATGAAATCCTTCTGTGCCTGCAGTTCCCTCAGCTTTCTTCATTAGTTGTTTTTTGAGTCTCAGTTAAAATTCACACTTTGCTGAACTGCAGTTTCACTGTGGGAGAAGTTTTAAAATTTATATGTATTATCTGTGGTAGTTGTTTGCAGAATTCAGTGTAGTTGTAAGCTGACTGCTGGATCAGATCCCTTCAGCCTGTGCTAAGCTGAAAGTAGCCTTCATCCCCTGAAATAAGTAGATAAGATAGTCCTTTAATACTTAATTTTTTAATGACTTGGGCAAAGCCTTTAGAATAGTAGTCCCCAGATGTTCATGGGAAGGTCAGGATTTTCTTCTGGTAGTTCTCAAAACTTTGCCCCCAAACTTCTGTGTGCTCCACAGGGCAGCTGGGCAGGCACTAGAATGAAGTTGAATAGTCTAAAGTCTGTTAAAATTTGATAAAAAAGGTTGTAGTGGTATTAGACAGGACAGCATTACCTTCTGGTAAAATTACAGGAAAGAGTTGGTGTAATTGTTTCTGCCTCTTACAAGTGTTAGAAGCCAGGTAGGTCAAGACTTGGGAAGCCAGTTCTGAGTTGTTCTTTGAGTACCTGTTCTGGCTTATCTAGGTCTCTTGAAGTTCAGTAGCTAAAGTTTTCCACAGAAGTGACCTTCTGTTGAACATTGTCCTCTGACACAGCTGGGTTGTGTCCCAGGGCATCTCTGTTAGACTCCAGTATACTGATGAAACTGCTGCTGCTCTGTAAGGAGACCCTCTCAAGAGCTGTGGATGGTGTTTATGGCATGTTGTGATGCCATCCATAAAAGCACTGGATTTGGGATTGGAGCAGCCATGAAGTGCAATGGGCTGTGTTCTGGCCACAGCCCAGTGGAGAGGATGTCAGACATGAAAAGCCATTTCATTGTTCCTACAGCCAGTCTCTGAGCCTATCCCAAAACTGAAGCACCAGTTTGTTCCAGATCACAAGGGATGGATGCTGGAAAGGTCACAGTGTAATGTGCCTGAGGCAAACGCCGTTAACCCCAGTGGGTCTCCCTGGCTTGCATTCCTTACACCTGAGTCACAGATTTTAACCTTTCTGCGCAAACAATCATCTCTGCTAGGGATTCTGCAGAGTTACAGGCACTTGCAGCCTTGAGCTGGGCATGGTGAACATCCAAGGATTCAGGAGTATTCAGTGAATTTATGTACGTTTTTTCTCCAGTTTTGAACTGATGCATTTCCATGTAGGAAAAGCTGTGGTTTTGTTGGAGGAAAGTGCCAAAAAGGTACATCTGACAGGCTTAAAATGAAGCATTTGTGTAAATGAGCACAATGGATTGCTGAATTATTATTCCTTAAATGGTCAGGAAATACTTGTTCTGGGTAATCATGTGAAGATATAAAATGTGCAATTAGTCAATGTGAGGGAGGCTGGCAGAGCAGAATGAGGGGAGAAAGCTTATACATAAGCAACTCTTCTCTTACTGGGCTCCTGGCATTATTGTAGGTTATGAAATACCAGTGAAAAATCTGGTGTGGGAAATACCAACTGCAGCCCAGCCACCTGGAGACAGTGCATTAGAGAGCCAGCTGCTGTGCCTGCACAGTCATTAAACACCCTTTTACAATGCAAATTTAGGGTGTAATATTGTGAGGTGTCAGGCTGAAGTTATATGGGAAAGCTATAACCCTGTATGCCAGTGATGCAAGGTAGGACGTGGAGCTAAGGGTCTGCAGTGGTAACTACAGAGCTGCTGCTGAGTCTGGACATGTGTTTTTGGGAAATAGCACCTTTCGGGGTTAGTGTGGTGCTTTGGAAGGGCTCTAAACAAGAACCACTGGACTAGGAGAATAAAATAACTGAGAAACTAATCTTTGCTGCCAGTGATTACTGATCCTCCAACACTGCTTGTGAGAACACCCCTGTTTTCAAGAAAATTATTTGAAAAAGACCCAGTTCTGGACCAGGTGAGCCCTTCTGCCCTGGCTGGGGAATTCTGCATTCCCCACAGCCCCAGCTGCAACTGGTGTGAGTTGTGGTTGTGTGGCCTCAGCACAATGCCAGGGAAGATGGTCCAGCTCCTGCAGCTGAATGCCCCTGATCACATTGAGGGTTTCCTGTCCCAATCTAGCCAGTTGATGTGAAGAAGCCAGGCTGCCAGGGTGATAGGCACAAATGCCCTCTGTGCTGCAGCAGCAGCCGGTCTCCCTGGCATTATGGCAGCCTGGCCAGCTGTGCTGATGCAGAGGAGGGTGCTGGAGGAATGCTGTGCTATCTTAAGAGATGATGCCAGCAGAGGAAAATGCAGTGAATCCTGAGGCATGGAACAGGCTGTGCCTGTTAAATGCACAGCGGTGGTTTTATTTCAGTGACGTGGGAGGTATGCTGGTGGGCTGAAGCCAGCTTCATTTCTCAGGCTGGTCAACCTCCAAGCTGCAAGAGAGGACACTGGCTTGCCATTATTTCCTAATTCCTCAGTCTGCAGCCAGCCACACAGTAAATTAAGTGTATACTGGTCTATCTCCTGGTAAAGTGTTAAGAAGGAAGAAGAGGGAGAGAGAGAGAGATGCTGCGCTTTTCTATGCAAAACCAAGGCTAGGGCATCTCTCTAAGCCTAACAGGGGACTGTAGTTCAAAAAGTGGATTTTAAAAAGTGTATTGATAATGAAATTAGACTAACAGCTTCTTCCCTGTCTACACCACTCTCATGAGACCCCACCTGCAGTACTGTGTCTAGTTCTGGAGTCCCCAGCACAAGAAAGACATGGAGCTGTTGGAGCAAGTCCAGAGGAGGCTGTGGAGATGGCTGGAGCACCTTTGCTCTGGAGACAGGCTGGGAGAATTGGGGTTCTTCAGCCTGGAGAAGAGGAAGCTCTAGGAAGAACTTACAGGGCCTTCCAATACCTGAAGGGGCTACAGGAAAGCTGGGAAGGGGCTTTTGACAAGGGTTTGTAGTGAAAGAAAAAGAAGTAATAGATCAAAACTGGAAAAGGGAGATTTAGGTTAGACAGGAGGAAATTCTTCATTTAGGGTAGTGAGACACTGGCACAGGTTACCCAGGGAAGTTGTGGAAGCCGCATCCCTGGAAGTGTTCAAGTCAAGGTTGGATGGGGCTTTGAGCAATCTGATCTAGTGGGAGGTGTCCCTGCCCATGCAGGGAGATTGGAACTAGATGATCTTTAAGGTCTCTGCCAACCCAAACCATTCTGTCATTTCATTGAATCTGGCTTGGTAAAGCCAGGGTGGAAAGCCAGGTAAAGGTGGAAAGCCAGGGACTGGCCAGATTGTATTAGAAATGTAGGTGAGTAATGCGTTACACCTCTCTTCTGTCACTCAAAAACCAGCTGTTGGCTCATGGCTGTTCCTGCTGTTCTGCTTTCAGACAGCCACGATGCCGTCTTGCGATTCAATGGGGCTCCTGTCAAGGGGTTCGAGGAGGACGTGGGGCAAAAGACAACAATTCGCCTTGTGAACTCCCAGGTAGGTCTGATAAACATGTGCCAACCAGGCCAAGCATGGCAGAGCTATGTGCCTGCCTACGAGCTGAGTGGCAGCCTGAAATAACATCAGCTACAGGCCCCCTGGCTTCCTCTGCTCCTGGGAGGTCTTTAAAATGATGGGGAGAGCAGGGCTTTCCATCAGATTTCTCCTGTCTCTAGCAGATAGCCACAGGATGGGAACATCCTTCTTTGTAGCGAGGGACACTTGGTAGATCTGAGGTCGCTGCAGTTAAACTAGCATGTGTTAGTGAACCTGCAGTAGCCTGCTTGTGAGTTACAGCAGACATAAGGTAACTTGATTTTGGCGTGGCTGGAAGCTTCTCTGTTAGTATGGGAAGGCCACCTGCCTGCTTGCTGCTGTGCTTTGAGAACCAGGAACAGCACCACACCTCAGCTGATGCTGTTCAGCAAACTCCAGTGCACCAGAGATGAGCTGTGCCTGCCCCAGAAATGGATAAGAAGAGTGAAGGAAGTTTATTTGGCTTTTAATGAGAGAACAATACTTCTTTTCTGCCTCTGTAGACAACACATTAACCAGGGCTGTTAAATTCCTGAAGACAATTGAAAAAGGCCTTTAAAGACCTTTAAAGCCATAAGCTGCACATAGTCAGGAGAGGGCATGGACCTGAGTGGATGAGTCAGAGGGTTCAGGGCCTCATTTCAGAGTATGGCAGAAAGTACCTTTAATGCAAAGCATTGCTTGCTGAGTTAAATTTCCCCTGACTTCTTGAGAGCTCATCTAGGTATGAGGTTGTCCCTCTGCTAATTTTCTTTGGGCTTTTCAATAGGCTTTGAAGCAGACCCTCAGTGATTAGGACCATGTCTAGCAGTGCATTAATAGTATGCCATGCATTTGGGAGCAGAGAGGGACCCATGACAGAGACCATCACTGCCCTGGGTACAGCTCGGAGAGTGTTTGCACCCCATTTCCATAGAGCTGTTACCCTTTGTCTTCCTCCCACCCATTTTGGGAGGAGAAGCTTCCAAGCATAGACATGCAGAGAGAAGAGAGAATCACAGTGTGTGTGCTGTTGAGGGGAATGGAGTGAGGGGAGGTGAGGACGAGAGCCCTGGGATGAAGGCCATCTTGGGGCATAGCAGTGCTGAGCATGGTACCCTGTCACCCATGGAGGGAGAGGCTGTAGGCACCTGAAGACTGAGGGGCTGCATGGGGAGAGATGGTGAGCTTTTGTACTCCAGAACCAAAAAGGCAGTTTTCTTTCCTCACCCCAAAGCTGAGATGTATAGGGCTGGAGTTCTCTTATCTACTCCTGTTGGAGGAGTCCGTGGTTGCCACAGAGTTCCGAGGTTTGAAGTATCTCAAAGCAGCAGCAGGAGCTTTGCCGTCCTCTTCAAAGGCAAAGAGCTATCTTGTCGCCAGTTTCCCTAGTTCACTGTTTGTGTACTTTGAAGTACATTCTTGGTTCTTGTGCAAATGCTGTAGCTACCTCTGCTCTTGGGTCTCCTCTTGTTACTGTGCCCTGTTCTGCTGCCTACTGCATCTCCATGCAGAACCATAGAATTACAGAATGGTTTGGGTTGGAAGGGACTAAAGATCATCCAATTCCACCTCCCTGCATGGTCAGGGACACTTTCCATTAGGCCAGGTTGCTCAAAGCCCCATCCAACCTGACCTTAAACACTTCCAGGGATGAGGCATCCAAAAAATCCCTTGGCAACCTGTGCCAGTGGCACACCACTCTCCATTGCCTGTGTTAAACCATTGATTAGGTGTGGGACAGTCAGTCCCTTCTGAACCAATCTGCTTTTGTCAGACATAACTGGCTGCTGCCGTCCTCTTCCCTCTGCCCTATTTGAGCTCTCCATTTTCTTATCTTTCCTTTCTGTGCATATATTTATGATGTCAGATGGGTGTTATCACTTAAGAAAACTTTCTCTGGAGGATGTGCTCGTTGCCAGACTTACTGTGATACGAAGTACTTTAACCAGCAAAACCATGTATGTGGCCTGTGTGATACCAGGGTTATCTGCACAGGGAGAAGGGTGACTGTGGGATTGTACAGCTGCAATAGAGCAGTTACAACTCTTCATGTGGCTGCTCTTATTTTGAACATTCATTATAGTTCTTCTGTTCTTCATGATCAGCCTGCAGCCGTGGGTGGTGGGTTTCATCTCTCACTGTTCCATCTGAACAGAGGCACAAGCTTAGAAAATTCCAGTTACAGGGAGAGCAAAATTATTGCAGTTTTTGAGGCTAATGTTAACTCAAAATGCAGTGTTGATCTAGCTGCTAAGGAGGGCAAAAGGTGCTCTGTGTGTGAGCAGTGGAGAGTGTGTCTTGTGGAGTTTCTAAGCACAACAGCTCTAATTGTAGTCCCTGGTATCTTCAGGGATCACTGGACTGGGAGTCTGGATTTCTTCTCTTTTATTTGCAAAGTCATTTTCAATGACTTGGTGCTGTTCTAGTCACAGCATTTTCACTATAACTTTATTGTTTGCATGTTTGCCTGGTTGCATTTTGTTTTTCAGCTGTGTGCAGGCATCAGATGCTGTCTGAAAGAGCTGTAATTTGGTCTTGTTCTGGGTTTGGCTTTTCTTACATTGTAAGTCGTTGCTGATAACAGGGGTGGGATTGTGGTTTGGCTGCACTTATTTTGGCTCTTACTATTGATCAGTCCTCAGTCTCTTCTCAAAATTAAGGAAATGGGATCTCCTGAACTTAATCTCTCAGAACTAGGCTGTATGGAGTGGTGTCCCCTTGGCATGTGTGGCCAGTGGCCCTAACTTAGTTAATAGCTATTTGAAGATACAAGCACATACCTGGGGTGGATGGTTTTAGCAGTAGAGTGGAGTCTCTTGTACATCTGTGTGCATAAGGAAAGATTAATAGATTGATACTGGCAGACGGGGGAGAAATTTGGGATCCTCAGCTTTGGGGGTAGGCTTGTGTAGGTCCCTAACCTTGGTAGCTGTTCTAGTTAGAGCAATTTGTTACCATTGCCATGCTTGTTTTCTTAGACCTTCATTGGTTCATCTGTGCTGCTTCCTTTAGTGGAAGCATGGATGTGCCCTGGGAAGGCAGTCAGGTCTTGCCAAGACAAGGGCTGGAGTGTGTGTGGGGTCAGTGCCAGGGTCATTCCATAGGACACGACTCCTTTGTGCAGGGCTGACCGAGGAGGAGAGTACCTCATTCTTCCCAGCCTTTGTTTACAGTTCTCCTTAGCTGGCTTCCCGCTGTCTTGGAGAGCACTCTCTGCTGTGGCTGTGTTTGCTGTTACTGGCACTAATGAGTCTGCAGGGAGGAAGGGAAAGGAGACAGCACATCAGTGGAGTGGAGTGAGATCGTGATGGGAAAGTGGAGCTTGTTTAGGTTACAGGGCATTGACTGCGGAGGCTGGAGAGAAGGAAGTAATTTTGATATGGTCAATAAATGTACCAGGAGGGCAGGGGCTCTGTAACTAGATCCTTGTTAAACAGTGAATTGGCTAAAGAACAAATTAACTAGGAAATCAATAGATCAGTTAACTAATTAGGATCAAAAAGTTGGGCAAGGCTAATGAGTCATCCAGGCAGTGTAAAGGAATTTAACAACTTGAAATAAATCAGTCACTATTAAATAGGCGCTAAAGGTATCTGGGGAGTTAGATTTCTCCAGCTTAAGTGGATTTCTCCACTTAAGTTAGATTTCTCCAGGTTAAGTGACCAATAGATGACTAGTGGTGCCAAGAAACAGCTCTCTGCTTTGAGGAAGGGAACAGCAAACACCTTGTAGCTGTGGAGGTGCTTCCTCCATTTCTTATCCCTCACCTTTTGTGCCTGTCACAGCTTTCTGGGCTTTGTGTGCCTCTGCCTGCTCACGTGGCTGGGCTTGGCTCACCTCTGCTTTCCTGGATGCTCCATCTCTCTCAAAGCCTCCTCACATCAGAAAAGTTCCTGAAGGATTTCTAGCCTTTAAACAGAAGCAATGAAATTAAAATAAAGCACCCATGTTCCTTCCCCTAGCCCTGTCCCACTGTGGTGCTCCAGCAAGTGAAGGTCACACGTGCAGCGTTGCACGCTCCAGCTAACAAGAGGTCTGCATGTTTTAGCTATTGTAAGGAAATGAAACCAGGCAGTACATGGGGTCAAGGCAAAGCCTAATCCTGCAGATGTGAGGGAACCCTTTTTGCTTTTAGAAGAACTTGCATTTGGGCTGCCCAGAGCGAGTGTCCTTGTGCTGTGGTTGTGAGGACAGCCAGGAAAGCAGCCTGCTGCTGGGGCAGCCAGGATACTCCAGAACAAATTGGCTAGCTCTTAATTAGATCTGTAGAGCAAATCGGGACAAATAGGAGTTGATTTTTATGGTGATGCTTTTCTTCAGCAGATGTTTACAAGCTGTGCCTGTACAGGTTATGTCTTTCAGTGAGAGGGACAGGAGATGTGTCCCTGTCTCCTTTGATGCCAACTGTTTGTGTTTTGCCACAGACCAGGGCAACTTCTCCATTTGAACCACACGCTTTTGTTCATTTGGGAAAGCCTGTGGTGGAGCAGTTTCTCTCCACTGATAATGTCCCTAGCCCATGTGCTTGGCTGTTGTGGTGCTTTACTTCTCAGTGCTGCTTTTGGGAGATTCAGTCCTCTCTTGCCTGAGTTGCACTGCCCTGCTCTGGAGAGGTGAGGTGGGCTTGGTGTGGGTCCCAGCTGGGTGCCATAGTCTCTAGTCTCCTGCACTGATGGGCTCAAAGCAAGTTGGCCTGAGCACTGGCTGTCTGAGGTTGTGCTGCTTAGGAGAAACAACACACTTGCAGGCTTTTTTGGTTCAAATGAAGGTTCTTGATAAAACTGCCACTGTCAGCGTGTTCACATTAGGCTCTTGCTGGCCTGTCCTGACAACTGGTGGCAGCAACTGATGTTCCCGTCTGCTTCTGTTAGTTGTAGAAATGTCATCCATCACACAGGTCAGGGCATTCTGAGGGTCCTGTCATTATTTTATTACTGAAAGTGGGTAGAAAAAAACTTGTAAAGCGTAATGGTTGTTTTTCTTGTGACTCCCCACAAAAACCTGAACTGCTAGATAGGACTGGAGCGGGCATTGGATGGGCATCACTGGGGGTTGTGTCCTTGTCTGCATGCAGTGGGACATGCTCAATAACTGGCACTGGGGTCGCTGTGTTCAAGTATGTTTTACTGCTTGGCTGCCTGCTAATTCTGACAGCATGTTGTATTTTATTGTGTTTGTTATTGTTATTCAAGCTTGTAACTGTTGAGGAGCAGCAGTTCCTGAGGGATGCACTATATAACACTGGAATCTTAATTGTCTGGGATCCAGCACCATATCATGCAGAAATTCATGAGGTAAGGCAGAGTTTTCTGTAAATAAAATCAGACTCATATGGTTTGAAGTGCATTTGTTAACCCACTTCCTCTTGATGTGGGCAGTCTCTCATTATAAGGCCATTCTAGTTTACCTCTTCATTATTGTGGCTATATCTCTTTGTACTTCTGGAAGTATCCCATGCATGAGTGCTGCCACAGAAACACTTGCCTGTTCCTCATCCTTGTGAAGGGTCTCAAGCCAAGCTTAACAGGTCACCAACTTTATCTGCCCGTGGGCTGATGCCACAGGGAGGTAGCTCCTGGCTGCTGCAGTCCTCACCTCATCAGCGGATGGATCTCCTCTTTCTGACATTTGCTGTAAGACTTGCTGATGGTTGATGCTTGGATGTTTCAAGCCCCAGTCAGACGTGAGGTATACTGGATGCATTACAAATGGGCTGGGAAGCCCTCTGAAGATCTTAGCAAATGTCTGCTCTCTGACAGCTAGACTTTCACTGGCGGGTGTTGCAACCATCCCTCTAGAATTCACCTTTAATTTTGAGTACAAAAGGGCATTATTTGATAAGGGATAAGCTTTAGGGGCTCAGCATGAAAGCAGGTAGTTGTGAATAGTCCATTCTTTTGTTTTAAGATCTGTCTGTAACTGACAGGTCTTTCCTCTGGACTTGTTTTCTCATTGATGTTTATTCTTGTGCCTAGTCCCACCTCTCTATGAGACAGGAGGGTGTATGTACAGTGTGTTTAAAAGTCAGTAAAACCAGGATGGGATACTTTTAGCCTAGGAAAAAAGTATCAAAATTATTTTAAGAAAACATAAACCCTTCCTAAGTGTTCTAGAATGTGAATCAGCTCAACCTGGTTTTGGAGGCTGTGCTGGGGACACTTGCTTGCAGAATAGGATGCTTTGTACTCCAGCGTGGAGAGGGGTCAGGGTCTGTAACAGTAAAGGCAGAGTTCTCAATGGCATCTGCTATTGGGGGGTTGCAGAATGAAAATATACAAGATACTGATCTCATTTATTGGTCCTTCTCTGAGACGTGGGTGGGTTTTCCCGGTTCTGTTCACTGAATCAGGTCACTGCAGTGATTCGAGGGACAGATGAGTGGTGGGGACCTTGGGGGAGTGTGTGTAGTAGGACCTTTTCCCCCTGGCAGCAGCAGGTTCACTCGTCCTCATTTTCCATTGTTTATGGGAAA